GCGACACCGGGACTGCTGCTATTTCAGGAAATTATCTCCTTGGGTTGAAAGATGTTCTCAGCCCGCAGGAGATGCTGATAAATCAAGGTTGGATTTCAGCTCCCTGCCAGGACATCAAGGGGCTTTGCGGCACAGCCAGCACGGGAAGCAAATTGCATGAGCTCCCAGGCTCACTTGCTGCTCCGCATTTCAAATGCACTTGGGCACTTCCCAGAAGGGCAGCACCAGGAGCAGCGTTGGAGGAACAAGGAAATTCCACAGTTTCTTTAAGACAAATAAGGCCAAGGTTCAGCCAGGCAGCCTCAGAAACAAGCCCGTCTCTCCTTGCCAATGAGCACAGGTGTTGACATTGCAAGGGATACACTAACCAAAAGCGGGAAAACCGAGTGTTTCTGCGTGCTATGTGGTTAGACACAGCAGGATGCACCAACCACGTCTTGGCATCTCCAGTGGGAGCCGGGATGCTCTTTCCAGACACTTTATTAGTCCTCACTCACCAGGCTCAGCACAGGCAAAACAGGGATCTGTGCAGCCTGTGCTCTGCTTGAAGTCTCATTAGATGATTTAACAAATCCCTCCTGAACTCCAGCTCCATGAATCATCCCTGCAGCCTTGCCAGCTGTCTGACGCAATTACGCAATGTTTAGCATGGGCCTTTTCCAAACCTTGTGGAAGTCAACAGGAGCCTCCGACTTCCCTGGGCCCGTTGGAGCAGGTCCTGCCCGCAGCGCGTCCCAGCCTGGTGCGGACTCGAGAGCCAGGGAAGCCTCGGTTATTTATGGCTAGAGAGGGGCTGGAGCGCTGGGACAGCCTGGCCGCGTGGCCAAGGGCTTCCCCCTGGGCCAAGGATGGACACATCGGCACCACATGAAAGTGAAGGAGCGATCGGGAGCCTGAGATGGGGGCCAGGGCAAATCTGCCCCTTCTCAGGGAAAGGGGAGCCCATCCATGGCCAGCTAAGAGCATCCCACAGCAAGGACAGCCTGCGGTGCAGCACATCTCCCTTGGGGCCAGGCCACCCATGGGCTTCAACCCTTCGAGCCTTGCAGACACTGCAGCAACACCAAGCACCTTGCAGAGACCTTCACCCATTTAGAAGATGCCACGGTGACCTGCAAGCTGATGGCTACTGGGATCCTTCCTCTAGTACGAGGTGGCTGTGGCTAATGGTCCATGGTGGGAAGAGGGTGGTGGGACAAATGATAGATGCCCTAGGGTGCTGGGACAGCTGAGGGACACCCTGGGTAGTGCAAAACCCAAGAGAGGTCCCGCTCCCCCGTGCAGGATCTTTCCAGGAAGGAAAACATGTTGGCACCTTCCCAGCGGGAGGTTTGGGTGTCAGCCAACCAACCCCAGAGACTCTTCGCCTCGAGGGAAGATGGTGCCGTGTCCCGCGCAAGCTCTGCTCACCTGGAGTTTCTGCAGCAGCACCACGTCGGCGATCTTCTCCTTGTCCTGCTTGGTTTGCTTGGCCTTCCAGTACTGCTTCTGGGCAGAGTAGCGGTTCATGGGACACACTTTGAAGAGGCAGTCTGGAACGAGAGGAGGCCGAGCGTGAGGCTGCTCGGCACGGCGCTCCGCACGCCGCCTGCCTCCAGCAGGGACAAGCTATGGGACAGGACACGGCTCCATGCCAGGAGCAGCCCCTCATCATGCAGAATGAATGGGTTTCTTCCAAGGGTCCAAGCCAGACCTGACCAGGGCTGGTGGAAGGTCCCATCACTCCATAGCTGCAGGATCAGTTGCAGATCTAGGTAAGCACGTCCAAGAGTAACTCCACTTAGGGACATGGTTTAGCAGACGTGGTGGTGGTGGGTTCACACTTGGACTTGATGATCTTGAAGATCTTTTCCACCCATAATGATTCTATTCTGTTCACTTCTTGGTCTACAGATAGAAGCATTTCTATTGGAATGACCAAGCAGCTTGGGAAGGAAGGGGCTGGGTTGCCAGCCCCACGGTGGCCGTGCCATCGGGATGTGCCAGCATTGCAAACGCCCTCCTGCAACTCCTCATGAAGAGACTAACTCATCAGTGCTGGAAGCTATAAGCAACTGCTCCTATAAATCCACATGCAAAAAGCTGCTCTTCAGGGCCCCCAAAAACCCTGTTTGGAGATGAAGGGTTCAGGTCCCGGACCAGGGAGTTGACGTATGAGACCAAATCTCTGGGAATCTCGAGCCAGTTTCCCAACTGGGATCCAGATCAGCAGCTCCGCGGGGCAGAGGCTGAGGGCAGGAGGGGCTCCTTAGCTGGGTCAGCCTAATTACTTCTGAAATGGCCCAGAAACTTCAGACACAAAAAGAAAATCATTCCATCTCTGGCGCGGGGCCGAGGCGCTGGCGCGTGTTTATTTACCTGGGAGTGACGAACACACCAGTGCGGAGCAGGGATCTCGCCGGCCCCGCTGCTGGGGAGAGGCCAAGTTTCACCTTTCGCTTTGCAGCTCTGTTTGCTAATGGCAGGTCCCACGCCAGGGAGCGCGGGGACGCTGGCGTTGGAAAGGGCTGGAGCCGGCGCTTTGCTGCGCCCGCTCGCACCACGGCTCGAGAAGCCCCTTGGCTACCTGCAGCACCTTAAATCGTTTTCACTTAATCGTTAATTAGGCTGCAATAGCTGCTGGTGGAAAGGAGAAACTGGGACATGGGGAAGAGGGGAAAAAAATAACATAAGAGCTATTAAGACACCAGCCCAAAACTGGCCCTGCCTAACCCCCGGGGTGCTCTGACACCCCGCGCTGAGCGTTGCTGCGTCCTGTCTCTTGGTGCAAAGTTGTCCTGCAAACGGGGACACCGAGGCACGGAGCAGTCCCTGGGGCTGGCACGAGGGCTGACGGAGCCCCTGGCACCGCGGCACTGCCCGTGTGCTTGCGAGGCGGGCAGGAAAGCGGGCGAGCGTGGAGCCGAGCGTGGAGCTGAGCGCGGAGC